GAATTTTCATATAACATGCATATGCACATAGCATTCTAATTGATTCTATACGTGCAACTGGTGCAAAGGATTCTTCAAAATCAATTCCCTCTTCCTGTAAATATCCTTGAGCCACAAGTCTTGCCTTATTTTTAATTACTTGTCCTTCTTCATCTGTTTTATTTCTGAAAACCCATTTTGTTCCTATGATTAAGGAATCTAAGGGGCGAGGGACAAGTTCCCAAACATGTAACCTAGCAAACTGAAGTAATTCTTCTTGCATAGCATTCAACCACTCGTCATCAAGTAGAGCTTCTTTATAGTTCTTGGGTTCTAAAAGAGAGATAAGAGCATACTGACCTGGTTGGTATTTTCCTCTGGTATGAATACCTTCGTTTAGCTCACCAATGATTTTTGAGGGTGGATGACGTTTTTGAATGTGGGGCGGAGCCTCCTTTCTTTCTTCTTCCTTGCTTAACTCGTCACTTGATTCACTTTTGTCTTTCTGGTTTTCATTTTCGGTTAAATCTCTTTGGTGCTCCTCAGTGCTCCCCTTTTCATTCAACATAGGAAACAAAAGTTCTATATTTTCTACAGTGACTTTGTCAGTACTTTCAGATCATCAAATTTTACAAACACTGATTCTTCAACCTTTCTCGTTCTTAGATTATATATTATGTATGCTTGTCCTTTAATTGAATATCCTAAGAATATACCTTGATCAGATTTGGATTCAAACTTATATAGATGATCCCTTGTATTCAAGATGAAGCACTTACATCCAAAAGGATGGAAATATCCTAGATTTGGAGATTTTTGTTTGATGATCTCATAGGGAGTTTTGTTTATGAATTTCCTAATTAGAACCCTATTTATGACATAGACAACTGTCATCACAGCTTCTCCCAAAGAAATTTAGGAGAACCATACTCTAACAGCATAGTTCTAGCAGTTTCTATTATGGTTATGTTTTTCCTTTCCACAACACCATTTTGTTGTGGTGTTCGTGGAGCAGAGAAAGTGTGAGTAATGCCTTTATCATTACAGATATCACCAAACTGATCAGAAATAAACTCACCTCCATTATCACTGCGAATGACTTTTATACCATTCTTTGATTCAGTCAGTCTATGATGGACAAAGTTCTTAAAATACACAAAGGCTTCATCTTTGGATGCTAGAAGGTATACCCAAGTATATCTAGAAAAATCATCAACAAGTACAAAATCATAGGATTTTCCCCCAGACTCATTACATTAGTTGGTCCAAATAAATCCATGTGTATTAGCTCATAGGGTTCAGTAGTGGTTATATCCCTTTTTGATTTAAAACTTTTCTTGACCATTTTTCCACCAACACAAGCATCACAACAGAACTTAGGTACTTCTTTTAGCAGAGGTATTCCTCGTGTAGACTTCATTTTTGATAGCTTTGAAAGCTTAGATAAACTTATATGACCAAGTTTTCTGTGCCATAACATTTCCAGATCATGAGTTTTAGCCTGAAAGCATGTCTCATTAAAAGTGTTGATACAGTTTAGATCTACCACATACATATTATTTTTCTTAGTTCCACAGAATAATAATTTATTGTCTTTTATTCTGATGATTTCACATGATATTGATTCAAATACTACTTTGTTCTCAGAGTTACAAAGTTGACTTATCGAAAGAAGATTATGTTTTAACCCTTTCACAAACAACACATTTTTTATAGTTGGAAGCGGACTTCTACCAATTATTCCACTTCCCATGATGATTCCTACACGATCATCTCCAAATACCACTTTACCACCCTTTTTATAACTTAAAGAAGAGAATAATTCCTTTTTACCTGTCATGTGGTGGGAGCAACCACTGTCCAGAAACCAGATGTTCTCATTTTCTCCCAAACTCTGCAGTCAATCAGAGATTAGCACATTTTGGAACCCAAAATATTTTAGTGATGCCAGGTCTTCTTAGTTTTTCTAAATCATAGCAAAATCTTGCTAAATGCCCTTTTCTTTTGCAGTAAGAACATGTAAAAATTTCATCTTTTGCAGTAAGAACAAGATATTTCTCATACTTTTTGTCCAGATACTGATTCTTGTAATTCTTAGTAGGAGATCTCGAAGTTGACCATCTTCTATTCATACTTTCGCCTTGGTGACTTTTATTTTGAACATCCTTAGTTTTACATAAGTCTCTTAACCTTTGATTTTCATTCTTAAGATTAAAGACTTCTGTGTTTAAATTTTTGTTCCAGTCATTTTGGATAGTTAATGATCAGTTTAATGTTTCAATTTCATTTTTTAGAGACTTGTTATCAGTCATTAGTAAGCAATATTTGCTTTTGAGCCTATTGCACTCTTCCTGAAGATTCGCTAGAGCATGCAAAAAATCAACTTTTGCTTTAGGTTTACTATCCTGTTCTGAGTCCGAGTCAGTAATTACCTGATAACATGAAGGCGATTGATGATCATTACTGGTTGTAGACTGTCCATCACTTTCACTCTTTGTAGCAAAGGCCATATATGCCAAGTTCTTGCCTTCTGGTTCTTCATCTGGGCTGAAATCACTCCAGGAAGCAGCAAGGGCTTTTTCTTTGGCTTTGGCACTCAAAGGACATCTTGAACGCATATGCCCTGGCTTTCCACACTTAAAACAAATCGTTAAACCTTTCTCAATGGAAGTGTTACTGTCTTCCTTATCAACTTTATACCTTTCACGACCTTCAGAGAATCTATCATGCATTTTCGGTGGGTTTTTCTCAAAATATGATCAATTTGAGTTGTATCTTCATATGTCTTAGCATGATTTCTATCAGATCCTTCTCTTTCTCTTCTGTACTCGGAGAACTGATTATTATTAAGATTTCTAGGATCCTGATATGCTCTTTTTGCCTGAAATTCTTTTTTCATTTTGAGCATTCGATGAAACTTTCTACTTACTAAGGCATATTCTTTCTCAAATTCTTCCCCCATGTCTAGATCAGAATCACTGTCACATTCCTGAGCTTTAAAGGCAATGACTTTTCTTCTTCTATGATCGTCTTTATTCATTTGAATGATCATTTCCTCATGACCGAGCAATGACCCAACTAACCTTTCAATAGATAGAACATTCAGGTCTTTGGCTTCTTCTATTGCAGTCCGTTTAGGTAACCATTCTCTAGGTAGACATCTTAAAATTTTTCTAACAAGATCTTTGGTTTCAAAGGTTTTACCTAACCCTTTTAGTCTATTTATCAGATCATTAAACCGTTTATACATGCTTGATATAGACTCTCCTGAGCTCATTTTAAACGATTCATACTCATTTAATAAGACATCTATCATACTCTCCTTGACCTCAGACGTACCTTCATGGGTAGTCTGAAGAGACTCCCAAAACTCTTTTGCTGATTCACATTGCGCCACTTGGCTTCTTTCCTCAAGGCATAATGTTGAGAATAGAATGTGCATAGCTCTTGAGTCGAGCTGTGAGGAAATCTTCTGGTCTTCCTTCCATTCTTCTTCATCTTCATCCTTCATGGGGACTGGTCCCTTTCTGACAACCACCCATAATTCTCCGTCAACTCCACGAAGGTAAATTCGCATCCTCTTCTTCCAGACTGTGTAGTATGTTCCATCAAACCATGGTGGGTTTGTATTTGCCGAATAGGCTACTGCACTTGAGGATGATCCAGACATCTCGTGATCTTCTCTTTGGCGACGATTAGTCCTTCATAGAGCCCGCTCTGATACCAATTGTTGAATCTGAATGGATATGAAAAGAAATAGATTTTATTTAAATTGAAACAGAGTTACAATTGATCAATTCAAACCCTAGCCAAGCCAAGAGACTTGGCACTTTTGAAAACAGATGAAAACCACTCAATCCCAACTTCCCAAGATAAGGTCACCCAGTTCTCAACTCCTGTGACCTATCTACTGAAGATGAAACCCGAAATGGCCCATGATAGACAAGACAGAATCGCGATTTCTCTTACTATCAACCGCTACCTTCAAATGAAGAACTCACTCGATATATATAGGCAGAGAAGGAAATAGCCGTTTCCTACAAGACGCTCCATGTAGCGATTATAATTTCTTGCTGAGTAGAGGCGGTGGAGCTCTGGAGGAGAGGTTCTTCGATCTATTGAGAGAAGAACCGAAAGCTGCAGATTGAAAGACTCGAGATGAAGACGACAACTGCGAAAGACGAAATGTTATCCGAACCCAAAACGCTACCGTTCCTTTGGTCATGGAGACGACGTCGTTTTAAGTGGCTGAAGAGATGTCGTTTTATCCAACAAAACTCACTATTTCGCCTCCACTTCCGTCATTCTATTTGCGGCCAACCCTCCGCCGGCAAACCTCTATCCGACCAGTCCTTCCACCGGCCGCCTTCTCCGGTTCTCCTCTCCCAACTTCTTTTTTGTTTTAAATTTTTTAACACCAGACGACCGGAAGGGGAAAAATCGAGCGATTGGTTCGAGCAGTTAACCATTTCGGCCGCTCGCCGCCCGCTTCATAAAACCTTTACAGTTAATTGACTAATTCGAGCCGGTTTTACGATCATGTGGTGGTTTTAGCGGTCCGACCGGCCGGCTCAGCTCGATCTTAATAACACCGCTAAAAACAATAGGACACCCAAACGAACCAAAACTTACAAATAGGCTTAATAACCATTAAAATAAGTAAGTAAAATAATAAATAAAATATTTGAAAATTACGTACGTGACCAAGAATTCGCAAACGGAACCGCAATTCAGCAGGCAGAAAGCCTCGTCGTTCGCCGGAAGGTTCATCGTCCGCTAGACTGAAACTACTTTGAAGTCCCTGGAAAAAGTGAGATGGAACCACGAAAGTAATTCATGGATGGAGGCAAAGCCAGGGTCGGGCACGCACAATGGCGTTGGGCTACAAACTGCTATAGCACACGGTGGCGCAGTAAGGAGAATGAACAAATCTGAATCCGTAGCCTTCAATCCTTCTATGGGTGAGGTTTCCCAAAGCGGGTGACTATAGCAAGAAATCCTCTGCAATTCATGGTAGCACGATGAAACTGAAGATCAACGACAAGATATTGGCGCGGAAAATCCAATTGTCGTCGTCGCCCACCACCGTCCTTAACCCTTCTCGTCGGTTCCTCTATCCGCCTCATATCCGGCGCATCAGTGCGGTTCTACTACAGACTCGTGATAGACTGGCGGTTACCGGCCCTTTCAATCGCATCATTCCGGCGGCAGACTTGGCGATGATGCCCATCCAAAGATCTGGCGTATCGCGGTCTGTATCTGACTTTGTTCCGATAATCACATCCGTCGTCTCCATCATATCCAGTGCGATGGCTAGTACACTGCTCTCCCCGATGGAAGGCGGCGGACGCGGTGACGTTTTCTGGGCTCCTCCTTAAATCTATTAATCTATATATCAATTTAGGTCCAACCTTTATCCGTGGGCCAAATTTGGGGTCTAAAATAAAAGCCCTAGAGTCCTTTTCTAGTGCTATCCATTGGGCCCGCAAAATCACAACACCATCAAGTCGGGTTTTACCGGCCCGAGATGTGTGCCCCGTCTAAATTCCCTAGCCTGCCGAGTTCAGGCAGAGAAACCTGCGGGTTTTTAGCCAAACCCCTCCTTACCACCAATGGCGAAATCTTTGTAGTTCCAACTTCGGGGAGCGATGTCGATGATTTCCACCATTGCCCTGTCTGCTCATCCTACTCTCACATCTTCGCCATTCCTTCGCCTTCCTCTCCAACCACGCAGCGGACTCAATTCCATTACATTTCGCTCTTTACCCGTCAAAGGCCCACCATTTCTCGGCAAAGCCGGCTGCAAAAGATTGAGGCTTTTCGGCGATAGGAAGCTGACGCTTGAGTTTTCCGTCAATTCACAGAACACTGAAGGGGAAATCAACAATGGCGTCGAAGATGATTCCCAGAAGATGGCTCGAGAAGAGACCACGATGCCTGATAGATTCCGGTACCTGACCAAGGAAGCGCCTGACCCGCCTCTCAGGTGGCCTTGGTTTGTCGGTACGCTCTTTCTCCTCTTCGCAAATTGATACAAATTTCGGCTGGTCTTAGATAATAGTCTGTTGCTTGAATCGAGATTAATTCTGAGTACTGAGTAGATTTTGGCGATGAAGTTTGGGAATTCGTTAGTCGAACCACTTTGTTGCAGGCACTTCTTAGGAATTCTTCACCAATACTTCCGTGTACCTTAGACAGAAATCCTATAACATTGCGTTCTTCCTAGCCCTATGAAAAGCAAGAAAGAAAAGGAATCAGAAACTATGTCTAGATTAACCTACCGTTAGAGAGTTGTTGGCTGAGATTTTGTTCCTTGTGATTTCATGGTTTGGGGTTCGAATTGTAGGTGGAATATTAGATGTTCGTGTTAGGATGAACACATGTAACTCTGCTGGTTGAAACTTTAGTATGAGTCTTGTTATTGAGGTTCTCAATTGGTCCAACATGATTGCTTCTTCCTCATTATCAATTGTCTTAGGCCGTAATGGATGCTTGTACTTGGTGTAAACATATCCGCTTGGGAAGTTTGTCGTGCTGTGGATCATTGGTTGCTGGTGTTCAAGAAAGATAATGAAATGCTTATTGTTGATTGTGCAGCACTAGGTTTCCTCATCTATTCATGGAGGGCGGTCTTATTTGAGCTTGGTAACTGGAAGAAGGGTGCATTATCTGTCATCGGTTTCGTGGGGTATCTCTTAAAACTCCTTCTGGCCCTAATCTTCCACTTCATTGGTGACCCAATAACGTCTCTAATACGAACCCTGGAGACCGGGTTCTACATGGTTCGAGCTTTCTATTCCAGAATACTGCATTACACCCCAGTCCCAGAATTCACCACAATGATTGTGCTTTCATCAGCGGTGCTCGCTATTGCTGAAGCTGCTGTTCCAAATTCAGTAAGCAGCCAATCATATCTCCTCACGTTATCCGGTCTAATTGGCTATGCAGCAGTAGGGAACTACATTTCAGAGCCACTCTTCTGGACACTTCTTCTGGGTGTGTACACTTTCTCTCGATTGGTTAAGAAGAGGGATGATGTCACATCTGCCCTTCCTGCTGCTACTGTGCTCACTGCTATAGGAGAGCCCTGGGTGAGGGTACTGGTAATGACTTCATATGTCGCCCTTGCCATCTATCACCATTCGAAGAATCGTACCAAGGGTGAAGAAGGCGAAGTTGTTGCAAGAGGGAAGCAGGTTCCAGCGCCGTTGCTGTGTGCAGGCTTAGCCATTGGTATAAAGATTGCTGCCAAGTGGGCTGGGTATCGCCACTTGACATGGATGGTAGTATAGAACGATGTAATCTTCGGGTGAAACAAATAAATTGATTGCCATGGAGAGCCTCAACCCTCAAACTCTTTCCTTCCACTCTTTGAAGCTTTTTGGTTCAGTTTGCTTAAAAAATGTGCTTATTGTTCTACATCAGCTGGGATAAAAGAGGACAAGGTTTTGTTTTTTTTGGGGCTGGTAAACAACTCTCTAACATCAATGGTGTTAAAGATGCATTGACAACTCTGAGGCAGAGGGAAAGAAGAACTGAAATGTTTGGGTTTGGGCCCAGATAAGAAAGTACTTTCACCAATTACAAATTGATTCTGATGTAATCGAATAAGTTACACTTAGCTAAGTCAACCGGTTCCTTGATTGATTGAGTCATTTTAAACAATACCATAAGAAAGGGGTCGTTTGGAAGTTGCCGATTGTTTTGTTGAGATTGTCATTATGTATGTACTATTTACAATGCATTGTTTTTTTTTGTTTTTTAGCAGAAACAATACATGGATTGTTTCTATGATATGACAGAAACTATCACTCATTTTGAGTGATTGTTATATCTCAACTCTTAGTTGGGACTGTTGAGATTATTGAGTTGAAATTGTTTTGTCTCAGCTTATAGCTGATGCGACATACACAATCACACATACCAAACGTTGTATTCTACAATGCATCAAATTCGATAATACATGTATAATATTATACATACATTCTCAACAATACATCTATTTAACAATCGCAACTTGATAACGATGTAAATGCACATGTTTGCACCCCTAGTTCTTATCCGTTTGAGGAGTATAATCGTGTGTTTTGGCCTATTTTACGCCGGGTTGTGCTATTTTGTCATGTTTCAGGTCCCATGCGTTAAAGGGAAGGCTAACCGCGAGTTTCGGGGCATTCGGAAGTCATTTCGGTGAGCTGGAGCCAAAACACGGGCAGCCTAAGGCATTACACGGCCGTGTACTGCTGGCCGTGCTTTTTATGCCGAGAGCAAATTCAGTTTGGCCAATTCAGCTGCAAACACGGGCACCGAAGCACGGCCGTGTTCAGTCAAAGCACGGCCGTGTGCATTGCGAAGCACGGCTGTGTTTAACCCACTTGCTGGCCGTGTAATTAAGCCCTGGCCAAGGCACGGGCGGAGTCAGGCAAAGCACGGCCGTGCCGTCGACCGTGCTTTGGCCACTGATGCTTTTAAGCAGATTTTCAGCCACAATTCAAAGGGAGAGCTGGGTTTTGGATCCCAAACACCCAAGGGACGAACCAAAGAGAGAGAGGGCGATTTGAGGGCATTCTTAGAGAAGAGAAGGAGGATTTCTTCGCCTTGGAAGCTTGAGGAACAAGCCCGGACTTGAAGACTGATCGTCTGAAGATTCTTACTGCAGTCTCTCTCTTCTCTATGGAGTAACTTCCCTTCACTTAGGTTTTGAGGAACCCTAGCTATGTTTGTTTGATTGGATGATTGTATGAGTACTCTGACTGGATAATCTTGAGTTCATATTCAATCTATGCATGTTTTCATGATTCAATTCTGCTTTAGTCGAGATTATTGATTCTGCTTTGATCCTATGAGAGGGAATACCTGATTAGGTCAATAGAGCACCATAGATTGATAGTAGTGGATCGATTGCTTTAGTCGAGGGTTGATTCACTGCTTTGTATCGATTGAGAACCTCTTTCGATAGAGGGAGTCTAGTTCAGAACGCCTTGATCAGTTGTTCTAGAGAAGGATACGTCCCTCTAGGCAATTGACTCAAGAGGGCCTTGTTCCTTTAGTCGAGACTCAAGGTCTAGTCAAGGATTCTTCGCATTGTGAATGAAAGTGAAACAGGTTAGAGATTATCAATCAATAATCTGGCTAGTGGCTAGGGGGAATCATACCTAAGTGAGTTCCCAACCTGTAATTAGATTAACTTTAACTGTAGTTTGCTAGAGTAGTTTTAGTTCTTTCATCTTAATCTGATTTGCTAAATAATAAACTGAAGCTGAGTAATAGTAACTCTAGAGACCCGTGGATTCGATATTTATCACTTGAGCCACTATACTGCAGTCCCTTTCATTGGTTACACTTGGCCTTTTTTAGGAGTTGTGTCATAGCGAGTCAAGTTTTTGGCGCCGTTGCCGGGGACTTTCTAGAGTATTAGGAAAGGCAGAAGTTTGTTACTTTAGCGTTTTTCGTTTCTTTTCTTTTCCACCCTTGCTTTTCACTTGGGTGTTTTTGTTTTTGTTGGTGCAGATCTGAATCATGGATCCTAATGGCTTCTCCAATCATTGGGGGTATCCACCACCACCTGAGTGGTATTACCCCGAGACTCCGTGGAGCAATCAAGGCGGAGAAGACTATGGATTAGGGTTCGAGTACCAACCCCCTTACTATGGAGAACAACCGGACCCCTGGGCATATCAAGAACAACCTCATTACCAAGAAGAATTTTTCCCACAACCAGAGGGGTCATCGGCGCTGGAGTTACCCATGGCGGCCTTCACGGGCCATTCTGCAGAGCCATGCTACACTCCACAGCCAGATCCACACTACGAATTGAGACTTCTCATGGAGCAGTTTGCTCGAGACTGTGATAGAACATGCTCCAGGATGGATCATTGTGTCCATGCCTATCGTGAAACAGAGGAGATCCTCCTGAGCCTTAAGAAGAGCGTCGATGATCTTGAGCGATCTTGGGCACAACCTGCTCCAGATCACCCTTCTGCTACCATACAAGAAGAGGAGGAGGAAGAAGAAGGCTACAAGGACATTGTGGAGCACACTGAAGTTGTCACGGAGAGCTCCCGTGATGATCATGATCAGGAGTGTCATTTCGTAGCCGACCACACCTTCCCACACCCCAAACTGAGCTTTGAAGAGGCGGGCATGAGTGAGGAGATGCAAGAAGATCTCATGAAAGAAATTGCTTGGCAACTTGCTCTCCAATCCGTGCTAGAAGAAGAAGAGCAAGAAAGGGTGCAGAAAGAAGTTGTGGAGGATGACGAAAGTGAAGCTGGAGGAGTTCTTGATCATTTCCCAGGGGTGATACCACATGAAGAAGAAAGGGAGGTTGAAGAAGCAATTGGCGTCCAGGCTGAGGACGAAGTTGAGGTGGAAGAGGCTTGCACCGGCCATGAGTTACATTTGATATCTCCACCAAACTTCGAGGAACTGCTTAGCAAGGACCCATTTGCAGTGTCTCTTTGCCAGACCAAGGCCACATCGACATCGGTCCCTCTTGGTGGACGCGATGGTGGCCAATCGATGCTATCATATCTGGTTTGGGGCAATGAGACGAGAGAAGAGAAGGAGAGGTCTCGAGGGTGGAGACTTCATCTGCATCAAGTACATGAGCCTCCATCACCTGTCATACCACATGCTCGTGACTTGAGACTCCACCTCATCGACGAGAACCTCAACTTCAAGGAGGTTTTGGGGTGGACCGAAACTTAGGAGCCATCGTCCGGCTCACGACGTGAAAGAAGCGCTTGTTGGGAGGCAACCCAACCAGTCGGTTTGCATTTCTTTCTCTTTTTCTCCTCGGTTGAGTCAGTTTTGTTATTTGATTTTAGAGTCAATAATTCAACCTTTGTGAGATTTTGTGTGGTGTTTGTGGTCTGGCCATTCTCTCCTCCTGAAATACGCCGCCTGCCCCGTCAACCATCATTCACCCTGGATCTGGTAACTTCGTTCTACCCTCCTTATCTTTCCTCCATTGAGGGCAATGTCGTGCTTAAGTGTGGGGGGATGTTCGATTATGTATGCGGGTGAATGTTTGGCTGTTTGTGTGCTTGGAGCCTAGTCCACTGTCCAAATTTTTAAATTTGAGGGCTCCAAGTACGTGTTCCTTGCAATTGCCTGCTCAGTATGCTTTGAATTGACAGTCTTTATAGTAATATGCAACCTAGGGAGGTAGTGTAGCACTATGGAGGATGTTGATGCATTTAAGAAGTCTCATTTCTTCTTCATATTGAGTTGGTTGATTGAGTGAATTAGTGATCTTAGGACTCTTGAATTGTGTGGTGTTGTGGATTCTCTACCTGTCATGGACTCTTGTGTCATGTTTTGAAAATAACAGGTGCTCGAAAATGTGCTTCAAAATAAACGTCTCCCGTGCGAATAGGGCGAAAGTGTGTAAGGGGAGACGGGAATCCGTTCCCAATTTCCACCTACTACCTCCCGCCCCCTTACATGTCTTTCCCCCGCACGAGGCTCGAGACATCCGCTCCTGGCATGGCCGGTAAGAGCAGGTTGGGACCCTTGAAAAAAGAGAAGAAAAAAATAACAGAAAACAAGCAAAACAAAAAAAAAGGGGGTTCCAACCATCTTCAAAGAAAATCGAGCACCTTGAAAAATGTGAGTCCATGATCCTTTGTTTTTGAGAATCTCTCCATCCACGATTCATTTGTCCTCTGTTCACTTTTTGCCATGATGCCGACTCGATAAGAAGCTTTGAGATGACTTGTGCGTCGGTTGACCTCGTAAGCTGCTAAATGACCTAGGAAGTCCTCTACCGACGATCTGGGTTGTTTGTTGCTATGGAGGTCTGGAGAGTTGCATTGGTTTGAGTTAGGTTTGCTTGAGGACAAGCAAACGGTTAAGTGTGGGGGAATTTGATAACGATGTAAATGCACATGTTTGCGCCCCTAGTTCTTATCCGTTTGAGGAGTATAGTCGTGTGTTTTGGCCTATTTTACGCCGGGTTGTGCTATTTTGTCATGTTTCAGGTCCCAGGCGTTAAAGGGAAGGCTAACCGCGAGTTTCGGGGCATTCGGAAGTCATTTCGGTGAGCTGGAGCCAAAACACGGGCAACCTAAGGCATTATACGGCCGTGTACTGCTGGCCGTGCTTTTTATGCCGAGAGCAAATTCAGTTTGGCCAATTCAGCTGCAAACACGGGCACCGAAGCACGGCCGTGTTCAATCAAAGCACGGCCGTGTGCATTGCGAAGCACGGCCGTGTTTAACCCACTTGCTGGCCGTGTAATTAAGCCCTGGCCGAGGCACGGGCGGAGTCAGGCAAAGCACGGCCGTGCCGTCGACCGTGCTTTGGCCACTGATGCTTTTAAGCAGATTTTCAGCCACAATTCAAAGGGAGAGCTGGGTTTTGGATCCCAAACACCCAAGGGACGAACCAAAGAGAGAGAGGGCGATTTGAGGGCATTCTTAGAGAAGAGAAGGAGGATTTCTTCGCCTTGGAAGCTTGAGGAACAAGCCCGGACTTGAAGACTGATCATCTGAAGATTCTTACTGCAGTCTCTCTCTTCTCTATGGAGTAACTTCCCTTCACTTAGGTTTTGAGGAACCCTAGCTATGTTTGTTTGATTGGATGATTGTATGAGTACTCTGACTGGATAATCTTGAGTTCATATTCAATCTATGCATGTTTTCATGATTCAATTCTGCTTTAGTCGAGATTATTGATTCTGCTTTGATCCTATGAGAGGGAATACCTGATTAGGTCAATAGAGCACCATAGATTGATAGTAGTGGATCGATTGCTTTAGTCGAGGGTTGATTCACTGCTTTGTATCGATTGAGAACCTCTTTCGATAGAGGGAGTCTAGTTCAGAACGCCTTGATCAGTTGTTCTAGAGAAGGATACGTCCCTCTAGGCAATTGACTCAAGAGGGCCTTGTTCCTTTAGTCGAGACTCAAGGTCTAATCAAGGATTCTCCGCATTGTGAATGAAAGTGAAACAGGTTAGAGATTATCAATCAATAATCTGGCTAGTGGCTAGGGGGGATCATACCTAAGTGAGTTCCCAACCTGTAATTAGATTAACTTTAACTGTAGTTTGCTAGAGTAGTTTTAGTTCTTTCATCTTAATCTGATTTGCTAAATAATAAACTGAAGCTGAGTAATAGTAACTCTAGAGACCCGTGGATTCGATATTTATCACTTGAGCCACTATACTGCAGTCCCTTTCATTGGTTACACTTGGCCTTTGTTAGGAGTTGTGTCATAGCGAGTCACAACTTCCAAACAAACCCGAAGTTCTTAGCCAGAACCCTCTTAAACTCAATTTTCCTGCGCTGTGCGCATTCCACGGAAGGAGACTTTTGTAAAATACGATTGGGCCACCAGCCAATGATTTCCCCTCCCTCAAAGCCTGTTACAGCTCCTACGGTTTTTGTCTCGATCTGCATCAAATTCGATAATACATGTATAATATTATACATGCATTCTCAACAATACATCTATTTAACAATCGCAACTTCCAAACAAACCCGAAGTTCTTAGCCAGAACCCTCTTAAACTCAATTTTCCTGCGCTGTGCGCATTCCACGGAAGGAGACTTTTGTTCTAAAAAAAAGAGGGTAAATACAATTTAATATCCAAACCTTTTATTTTAAACAATATAATAGCCAAACCTTTTCGAAAACAATCTAATATCCAAATCGTCAACTTTCTTTCTGTTTGACCGTTAGTTGACACTTCAAAAAAGTTCGAAGTACGACACTTCATCAATATCCATCGATATCTTCTCTGAAAAACCACCAACATATCGTAGTTCCAAACCCGAAAAGTCCATGACTCCACCATGATGGTATAGAATATCTAAATATTCAGTCATCTGCAATGCCAAAAGAAGAAACAAAGTTGTATTGTGACAATTTCCCCTAAAACAAAACTTTTTTGAAGTGTCAACTAACGGTTAAACGAACGGAAAGTTGACGATTTGGATATTAGATTGTTTTCGAAAAGGTTTAACTATTATATTGTTTAAAATGAAAGTTTTGGATATTAAATTGTATTTAAAAAAAAAGTCTTTTGTAAAATACAACTGGGCCACCAGCCAATGATTTCCCCTCCCTCAAAGCCCGTTGCAGCTCCTACGGTTTTTGTCTCAATCTGCCCGTCTTTCGCGTCGCCCGCCTCTCTCGCTGCCGGCCGGACTGAACCTCACCGCCGCATAAAACCAATCGTGTCTGTGCCTGCCTCCCTCGTTGCCGCCGGGTAAAACCAATCGTGTCGGTGCCTGCCTCCCTCGCTGCCGGCCGAAACGAACCTCACCGCCGCGTAAACCCAATCGCCCCGGTACCTGTCTCTATCTTCCTGTCTTTCGCCCTCTTTCTAATTTGGCGATTGGAGGGCAGCTGGAAGCTGAAGACGAGAACGCTGTGGTGGAGAAACTTCTTGCAGGCTCGATTCGATGATCATCAATCAAGTCTCAGTCAGGTTTCTCATTGTGCCTTCATCTCCTTGATATTTAAGTATCTTCCGCTGGCCATGTCCACGAACACCCAGAACCCGTTCTGAATCGCCTGGAGACAAAAAGGGGCAAACAAAAAATCAGAATAAAGGTAATCTCTTCCTGGAAATCGCATAGTTTAGTAATCAGAACATATCAAATTTTTACCTTGATCATATTTGATTCGGGCTTCTTGACATCAACCGTTGAATCGTTGGAGAAGTCAGCCTCGGTTAAGGCATTGGAAGTTGAAGACAAGAACGTTGTGGTGGAGTGCTGCTGGCTAGATTTCTCTCGATCATAAACTCTGAGGCATTACACTGTCTGTACTATCTTCATAGCTTAGCTATGCCCTTCAGAACTTAGCAAGGTATGGACGTTGATTCATGCCCTTCAGAACTTAGCAAGGTATGGACGTTGATTCATGCCCGCATATAGGAAAATGAGTGAGCTTAATTCAGCGGGATGGCAAAAATATCCGTAACCGTGAATATCCGCCCGAATCCGACCTAATCGGGTAGGATAAAACCCGAACCCGAATGCCTTTTAGTGGATACGGGTAAAATCCGAACCCGAATATTGCGGGTAATGGGTGGGCATGGTTTTCTCACTATCCAACCCGAACCCGCCCAATTATACACATGCATATGTATTTTGTCTAGAAATAATCAATATTTTTCTCTTACATATTTTATATTTAGCATATACATATAATAGTTTTATGAAATTGTGTTATTTTAATTAATTTTCTTCATTCTAGTGAATTATTGTCGTACTTTTCGTCTTACGTAACGTGAGAATACGTGTCAATATTAACATATTGGTTGGAGTTATAAAGAGAAACTATTACCCATGGATAACCGTGGATACCCGAAACCCGAATGGGTATGGGCATGGTTTAGATTTTCTAACCGTTTCTTATGTGGGTATGGGTATGGGTAAAACCCGAACTACTCTGGGTAGGGTAGCGGATATGCACTATCCGTCCCCGACCCATTGCCATCCCTACCCGCATATAGCTCTTCATAGTTGAGGACAACCGTACTTGAGTTAGCTCAAAACTACTCCATGGAACAAACGGGGAATTTTACAATGCTTTAAAGCATTGGCGCTTTAGTTTTTGCCTTTATGGTACAACTTGAAGTTGTACCTTTAACATTATGGTACAACTTTAGGTTGTACCTATTAGGTACAACTTAAAGTTGTACATTTAAGTTATGGTACAACTTGAAGAGTTGAAGTTGTACCACAACATAAAAATCAAATTCCCTTATGGTACAACTCTAACTTGTACCTTTAACTTGTGGTACAACTTAAAGTTGTACTTTAAAGCACCAATATTTTAAAGCATAGTAGAAAGGCTCAAACATGGGTTTCATTGTGGAAACTTTGTGGTTTAGATTTGTTTGGATGTGCTTCTTATTCATAACGTAGTTATGCCCTCCATACAATAAAGCTTCTTATGGTGCTACCTGCTTGGGTTTTGCATAAATTATAATATCTTTTTGTGTCTCTCAAAGAACCCAGTTGGTTTGCCATGTTCAAAACGTTTGAGCCTCCAATGTCTCTTGCACTTGCTTTATGTGTCATTACATGTTCTAGCTCTGTGGTTCAGACTTCAGAGATGACTATGGACAGTTGATCATATCTCTCGGCTTGATTTATACCCTCTTTCTAATTTTGCGATGGTTGTACTAAATGGCGTGTTTTTGTAGGTTCAAATTGTGAATTAATGGCTCAAAGTTTGAAACCTCCCTTGAGCTAATCCGATTAATCAGAGTCACCACCACTTGAAGACAACAGAAACAACACTCTCCCTTGAGCTAATTCCATTAATCAAAGTCATCACCACTTGAAGACAACAGCAGCAGCACTTAAGCGGCACTGCTCCACCAGTCTTTCTTCCACCACTCGAAGACAATTAAGTAATTAACAGTAAGGTACGCAACTGTAATCCTTTTAATTGCAATCAATCTTTAATGTTTCCACTTCAGAGCCATATGTCATCAGTTCAGGTTCATGTTTGTTTTGTTTGGTTCGATTTGCTGCATATCACCAATGATGGTACCGAGTCAAAGGGGTACAAAAGAGAGTGCTTAAGTTCCACAAAAGTTTCATAACCACACAAGCACTGCATTCATACATGTTCTACCTTTTATAAAGAATTATTAACTCCACTATCTTCATCAATTAATAAACGCCTTTTATTTTTAGATTTTTTGCCAAGCAAATTCTTTATTATTTTGTTCATGCGGAAACAAAGACACCTGATGGTGTAGTAATCATGATTGGCAAATGGGTTATTGTTAGAAGTTGGTTATATATGATTTTAACAGTACTTAATTGACCAATAGCAATCTGATTCGTAATTATATGAGTTTGGTTGACATGTTATCCTTTTGGAAGTGTAATCTGATTTTGGATAGTGGATACAACATGCAACTGGATTTTCTTCTACCATTGGTGCTGCATAGTGAATGATTGTGTTGGTTTTTGAACAAAATTTAGAATCAAATTGATCATGGTTTGTGTTGATGTTCTAATACGGGCAAGTGTGAGATTTTCTTCTATTTCTGCTGATATGTAAACAATTGCAGATGCAAGTGTTTGATTGATGCTTGGATCATATACGGAAAGCAGTACATTTGATTATTATCATGGTTTATTCTCTTGCCCTTTTTGAGGTGTAAGAAGTGGATGGGCTAATTTACACTAGGTTGCCTACTGTCATCATGTGTGTTGCCTTCCAAGATCACACGTTAGTCAATTGAATCAACCTCCATTTGCCTACTGAAGTCTGACCAAATATGATTTTCTTTTTTGAAGTTCTATGCCTCGAAGGAGAAGCATTCCCCGTGGGAAGTCATCGACAGTATCAAATAATGAGTCAATTCGACCATTAAAAATTGAATATAAGTACACATATTGCTCTTAGCATAATTATATAGATTTGTCAATTTAATGTGCGTCCATTCCACATGTTATTCAAGGCAAAAGAGAGCTGTTTTTTTTTACCACCAGTGTAGTGAATTCTAATAAGTCTCTATCTCACGCACAAAAGAAAATTATCAATGGTATGATTGTCGATGAAATGCCTCTTTAATTAGTTCACTCTAGATTCCGATTCGGACTTACTTTGTGCAATTCAGTTCCCTTGCTATAAATAAATAAGCAGCTCCGAGCTTACAGATTCTCACATCTCCAACACTCAATCAATCGGTAGCTCTCGCTTTCTAATCCCTCGCCGTGCACTCAAGATTCCCCGGAGAAACTAACCAAGATATCAAATTGCCGTAACAATGTCGTCGGAGAAGAAGTGCATCACCCTGAAGAGCCGCGACGGCGGGACGTTCCAAGTCGAAGAGGCGGTGGCGATGCAGTCCCAGACGATCAAGCACATGATCGAGGACGACTGCACCGACAACGGCATCCCACTCCCCAACGTCACCGGCGTGATTCTGGACAAGGTGCTCGAGTTCTGCAACAAGCACCAGCACGCTCCTGATCAATCTGACGCCGACGAATTGAAGAAATGGGACACGGATTTCACCTAGAGATGGTAATCAAACCCATGGTCGCGGGTATCCGACCGCCCCCGACCCAGTCAACTCGGGGAATCCCCGCTTTGACCGGGTATGGGGCGGGTATGGGTAAAACCCGCAAAAAGTTTGATGGATATGGGGCGGGTATGGTTTTAGCCTCCCCCGTCCCATACCCATCCCCATACCCGCCCCACCAAGATAATTTCTTCATATATCAAAGTATAAACTATCAATGATGATGCAGATAACTTGAGAAAATAAATAGTAGAAATGCAATTGAGTGGACACCTTAATCAAAACCTAATTCATTTCTCTCAATTCTCATTTCACTCTCACTTTCCCCCTTGTCAACAAGATTATGTTAGTTAATTATTATTTAGTGGATATTTTAGGATCATATTCTTTGAACCATATTAAAGAAATGGCCGTGTTTTGTTGACTTCATGATATAATATGTTCGTTTAGAGTTATAATTAAAACTTTTCTTGTAAGTTTTAGGTATAATAATGTTGGATGTACGGATATGGGTATTACCCATGGGTACCCGAAACCCACGGGTATGGGGATGGGTTTGCAAAACATTTCCCCGCATGGGTATGGGGCGGGTATGAGTTTGGGTATTTAAAGATAGGTATGGGGATGGTTTAGACAAACTCGCCCCATTGTCATCCCTAATTTCACCAAGGTGGGTCAGGACACGCTCTACGACCTGCTTATGGCGGCGAGAGTGTAATTACGGGAAGAGCAGCGTGGTTATATAAGTTTTTTTTAGATTAAGAAATAGCAAGTAATGATAAAATTCATTGTTAATCCTTCATTACCTACCTAGCCCCTCAATTTTGGGGAACGATGGTACTTGATTCAAGGAGTTAGGACTCGAATAACTAGGGTATATACATACACATATGATAAGGACACCCAATAAAATTGACGGATGCAAATGTATGTAAGGCATTTCGGTTTATATTCATAGTTTTCTATTAGTTTGCTACGATTTATGGTTCGGTCGATAAGATAATTTGTTTGATTTTAGTTTATATTTTTTTAGATTTATGGAGGGGGAGGGGTTGTTTGTTTTGTGTTTAATTTTGAAATTCAAAATGGGCTATTCGGTAACTTACGTAATTTTTAGGACGACCTTTAACAATTCAGTTCTTTATTCCCAACAGAGGCGGCATGCAAGAAATTCATTTAGGCCAAGTGTCATTTGCTGATTCTCCAAGTATCCATAAAGCTAGCTACGTGGCTCATATACTGTGAAATTACGTTATATATCACATGTTAACACATGCAACTTATATACACATCAATTATTTTACAAAATTAACTCATTAATACTTATTCAAAATGACCATTTAACTTACTCAGGAAAAGAGGCAGGTATTCAACTGTGTATTAGGTGTCTCATTTCGTAATTAATTGTTGCAGTCGGTCAACAACTTAAATGGACATTTAGACAGATAATATATTTGAAAGTAGACCAAATGTTTATTTTCTTATATCATATGTATATGCTATTTTTAATACATTTAAAATATATTTTTTTTGTTACAGACACAATGGTTCATAAATGAAACCGGCCAACCGGTCGGGCCCGTGACTAGTGATTTATGGCTATATGCACAACATAACTCTAATTAGATATATATAGTAAGGGTCACTTTGGAGAAAAGGAAGGATTTGGATCATTGAATTCACGGAAGGTTATGTTTTTCCTGCATTTTGTATTGTGAATTTAAATTTTAGAGATTTCAAATTTTTTAACTTTAGAAATATCAAACTTTTTATTAATTAGATTTATTTTATTTTTCTTTTACTTTATAGCTTCTTTTATTTTCCAATAATGCCATTAACAATAAATTTTCAATGTTTTTTTGGGTTGCTCTGATTCTTTTGGTTAAGGGCAATGTTCAAGAAGGCACTATACAGGCGTTGTAGTCCTGGCGTTAGCGAGCGGCGCCCAGGCGTTAGCGAAAACACAAATTTTCAAGAATTTTTCCAGAAATACCACAAAAAATTCCAAAAATACCATTCATTCCCAAAAAAAATCGCGGCCCTCTATGGTGGTTTACTAAAGGACCGTAGGAGGAAGCCGTGATTTTCATTTTGTATAATAAGCGCAGGGGTAGCCGCGGTTAATTAATAAAAAGGCGACCCCAACATTCCCCCCCCCCCCCCACCCGCCCACCCCCCACCCCCCCCCCCCCCCCCCCCCCCCGCTCGCGCGGTTTGCTTATAATTTTTTTCGATCAATGACCTAGGTTGAAATTTCAAACGAACATAACTTTGCGCTCGGTTATCCGATCGTAGCAACAAAAAAAAAAATTGTGATTCCGCATAATCTTTCAAGATCTTGCAAACCGCTTTAGTATCACATTCTAAAAACGTCGCTTGCTACCCCGAACGAGCACTTTTTTCAATTTTGCCAAACTTTGAAATTCCATAATTTTGTGCTCCGGAACTCGAACGTTGGTTTTACTTTGAAATGCCACAATTTTTTCAAACGGGAAATATTTTAGGATATAAGGGGTTTTGGGTATAACTTTGGTTTTACTTTTCATAAGTCCACATACATTATGCAAAAATAGCTATGATAAAAGTTGTAGTCCTTAAAAAGTTATGTGAAATAAATAAAAAACAATTGGGGCGTTCAGATTACGGAGTACAAAGTTGTGGTCGTCTAAAGTTTGACGAATAAAACAATTGCTCATTCGGGGTAGCAAATGACGTTTCTCGGGATGAAGGCGAGACCAAACTACTTAGGATTATTTGGGGCTTGCAATAACGAAAAATTATGCGGAGTCAAAAAAAATTTCACTACGATCGGATACCCAAGCGCAAAGTTATGTTCGCTTGAAGTTTCGGTAAAAAAACATTTCATAGGCAAACCGCTGGGGGGTGCGGCGGTTTGCGCCGAATGGCTGAGGTGACGCACAGTCAATCTGACCGCGCCGATCCCATGCGGTTTTCAGCTGACATGATTGATAACTGCGACACCCCCTATGGTTCTCGTATAAACCGGCATAGGGGTTTGTGGTTTTTGGATAAGGGTGATATTTTTGGAATTTTTTAGTTTTTGGATGGTATGTCTTGAAAAATTACAAATTTTCAACGAAAATAACAATTTTATAGCACTTTTTTCCTTGAGTTCAATTTCAAATGATTAATAGTTTAACAAAATCTCCACACACAAGCAAAATATGTCATGTTATTCAAGAATCACAAGTTCATATAAGTCATGGGTTGTGACTGGTACATAATCAACAATGTTGAAGAGCAGGGCAAAAGGTCGAGTTGACCAAAGCTCGATAAGAACTGAAGGAAGAGTTGGTTAAGATAGCTCTGTGGTCGACGTTAGTGAAAATCAAGATAGAGGGTCGGGTCGACTGGAGCTGGAGAAGAACTACGAAATTTGTGGGTTGTGGTTGTACTACTGTTGGCAATGACAAAAAGCGGGTAGAGGTTGAATGGAATGGAGCGACAAGGAGAAGTCGTCTAAATTAGAGGTGGAAATCGGTAGGGTACCGATATCCAAATCCCAAATACCAAAATCCCGAATACTGCATTTCACCCTAAAATCAATCACAATCTCAATCGCTAAATATTTCGGTATCCCAATTGGTACTTTGGTATGCCAATCGGTATTATCGAATACAAAATTTATTACCTTTACAATCAATGATTAAATATATAAATTAGATTTAATTATTTAATTTAGGGGAAAGAGACTAAGCAAAGAGTCTTGATTTTGTCTAGAGCTAGGATATGGATAAGGAAAATGGAGGAGAGGTGACATCTCAAATTCTTGTCATTTGTAATCTTTAATTTGACGAATTGGTGGCTAAGAGACGACAAATACTAGTGTTTGCTTTTTGGTATTATGAAAATAACAAGAGATTAGCTGATAGACGAGAGTGACTTAAACTGGAAAGTCAAAATTGAGTTGGATGTGGTCTTCTAAGTTGTGAAAGAGTGAATGAATCTCAATCTCTAAAACGTAAGCCGGTATTCGATAATACCAAATAATTGTAAATTCGGTACGATATTCGGTATATCCCAAATACTGGTACTAAACTTCCAGCTCTAGTTGCAAATATAAGTTCCAAGTCATTGTTTCATTAATCTATAATTTCAATTCAGGAATGAATGACGTGTCGAATATAGGGCATCTGGAGATTGCGTCGTTTCGAAAAACCTAGCAACATTCCCCACCCCCCACCCCCCACCCCGGTCTACCAATGCCCTTGAGTGTGACTCACTTCGATTAATCATGTCTTGCGCTAATTAATCATGTCAAACTCTACCTAGGCGGCATCTAGGCACTATAAATGCCTATTGTCAGGCTAGAGTTTATGCGAATCGTTTTGTCACTGTCTAAATCTTACGTATGAATTACTGTCTTTTTGAACTTTGATTAAGGATAAACATATCATATAAAAAAATATTTTGTATTAAATGTTAACAGTTATCAAACAATAAAAAATTTGAAATCTGATTTCAAACCATTCTGAGAATTAAAATGAGCCATAAAATAACTCTAATATAATATGTAGGCAAAATACACTTGTATAGCCATAACTTTCACGTTTTTGACAAATATAGCCATTTCTATTCGAAAACCACAAATAGCCAAGAAATTGGATGGTCATGTGACAAATCTAGCCATTTTCGTTAGAAACTTTAACGGTGTTAGAAACTCCGTTAGTTAAATTAACGTTAGGCTGACTAGGATGCCAAATCATCGCACACATCAGCGACAACTCAACCACACTTGCCACGTAAGTGCCATGTCATATTTTAATTCAAAAATAAATTAGTTAATCAATTAATAACTAATTTAAAAACATAAAAATATTTATTAATTTTTTCCTTTTCAATATCCAGTCTCCTCTCCCTCTCTCCTCACTTTCGTCTTCCCCATCTGTTCTTCAATATCCACCACCGCCGCATCAATCGTCATTCCCAACCAGCGACCATTGCTCCCAACCAATGACCCGACCCCCTCCGTCTCCGAACAAATCCCCTTCCCTGCAACAAGAATCTCAAACTCAAAAATGGCGCTCTCTGCTTCCGCCGCCATCGCAAGCCCCAAATCCCTCTTCCGCGCTCAAGCCCTTCCCTCCATTTCAAAACCCATTGCTCGTTTTCTTGCTTCTCCTCTTCGCAACCTCAATTCGACAGAAATGCCAATAGCAACCCCTCTTTGAACTCTGTTCCCAAGCGGAAGAATCGCATAGTTGATGTGGGCATCGGGCTGCTGTCGGCTTCGATTCTCGGTCTTGCTCCGATGGACGCCAACGCCACCAGGATCGAGTACTACGCCACGGTGGGAGAGCCTATGTCTCCGATTCAGATCTGCCTCACCGATCCTACCGCACAGCCAGGCCCTGCAGCTCCTTCGCCGCAGTTCTCTCCGCCTTCAACTCCTCGTACTGGCTCGCCTTCTTATCCTCCTCCTACTCTCCTCGGACAAAGCAACGACGACCAGTCTGAAATCCCAATTCGCCATCTCCCCGCGGCGACGTTTCCAATCCGAACCGTGCCCAACAGATCGCCAATAGCCAGAGTCGGGCTTGATTTGGAAATCTGGGGATTTTCCTTGTCGGTCAGTTGGGACTACGCGTGGAGGGACTTGGGCTCATGGAGTTGCTCAGAAACTAGATCTGGAAACCAGATCGTTGGATTCACTCACCTGCAGATGTTGAATTTCATGGCGGCAATCACTGCGATTTCGGCGCAGTTCCAGATCGGGTTCTTCTTCCTGGTTTGAAGAAATCCCTTTCGTTTCTCACCACCGAACCCATCCTCCATCGATGAACTGATTGGGCGAATCTCGAGGAAGCAATATCAGCTGCAAGAGGGAGCAGTGGGGATGGAGGATTTGGAGTCGGTAGGTCGATGGAGGATTTGGAGTCGGAGAGCGGTTGTTCACGGCTGCGGGCGGTGGTTTGATGGCATCGCTGGTGGGAATCGTAGGGGAAAGGAGGGATGAAGATGATGTTGACGGCGGCGAACAATGGTGGGGGAGGTACAGGGAGGAAGATGAAGTTTTTTGTATAAAAAAATTTTATTTTTATTTTTCATTCTATGAATTCGGAAAAATTGAATTTATGTCCTTTTTTTATAATCCACGTGTCCGACAAAGTATCGCCAGGTAAGCATTTCCGTCAGTCTAGTGATAACGATGTAAATGCACATGTTTGCGCCCCTAGTTCTTATCCGTTTGAGGAGTATAATCGTGTGTTTTGGCCTATTTTACGCCGGGTTGTGCTATTTTGTCATGTTTCAGGTCCCAGGCGTTAAAGGGAAGGCTAACCGCGAGTTTCGGGGCATTCGGAAGTCATTTCGGTGAGCTGGAGCCAAAACACGGGCAGACCCAAGGCATTACACGGCCGTGTACTGCTGGCCGTGCTTTTTATGCCGAGAGCAAATTTGGTTTGGCCAATTCAGTTGCAAACACGGGCACTGAAGCACGGCCGTGTTCAGTTAAAGCACGGCCGTGTCCATCGCGAAGCACGGCCGTGTTTCCACCACTTGCTGGCCGTGTAATTAAGCCCTGGCCGAGGCACGGGCGGAGTCAGGCAAAGCACGGCCGTGCCCTCGACCGTGCTTTGGCCACTGATGCTTTTAAGCAGATTTTCAGCCACAATTCAAGAGGATTCGAGTTTTTGAGAGAGAGATCAGTTCCTAGAGAGAGAAAGTGACGAGCAAGAGTTCCCAAGTGCCCTAGATTGATCTTCAACACCATTGGAGGCCAGCTTGAGCTTGGAGAAGTGCCAATCAACGTTCAGAAGCAGGAATCCATCCTTCGCAGTATGAATTCCGTGTCTGATTCTGCTTTTGCTTTCTTCTCTATGGAGTAGTTCTCCCATTCATCTGGGTATGGAGAACCCTAGATTTGTATGTTAAGTTTTGATTGTATGAACCCAAGTACTGATTCTATGATTGATTATATTCGATTGAGGTTTGATTGATTGAATGACTTGAATCCTGATCAAATTCCTATTGTTTCTGCTTTAACCTAGAATGAGAATATCTGACTAGGTTAATAGAGTATCCTTGATTGAAGGTAGGGAGTTGGTGACTTTAGTCGAGGAACCGACTCACTATTCTGTACCGGATTTACCCCGGTAGTGGAGGTTTTGTTCTTAGGGCCTCAATCTGTCGACTCCGGTGGAGGTTAGTCGCCCGCTAGAGAGTCAGATTGAGAGGGTCTGAAGACCTTTAGTCGAGACTTCAGGCTGTTTAAGAACCTTCCGCAGTATAACTGTCATAGAAACTGAACTTGGTAATTACAATCCGGCTTAACTGCAGTCTAGGGGGAACCATATCCGGGTGACCTCTTTAACCTGAATACAACCAGTTTACTTGCTTTGTTTGTTTGGTAGTTTAGACTTGCACTCCAGTTTTATTGCTAGATAACAAGAACTCACTGAGTAGTCAGCAAATCTAGGACCGGGTTGATAATTAAACCTAAACCCGCTATACTACGCTTTAGGAAGTGGTTACACTTGGCCAATTCCTGGAGTGACAGTAGAGTCGAGTCATCTAGTCAGAGTGTTAAGTAACACCGTTAAAGAGATGGACGGAATTGGCTATTTTTGGTTTTCGAATAATTATGGCTATATTTGTCACAAACGTGAAAGTTATGGCTATACAAATGTATTGCAAGTTTGCAAATTGCAACTCAATAGTTACGACTTTCGACACCACCCTACACTGTGGGCTGTCGCCGCTTTCGGCCGAGATAGCGCAATAGATACACGATTCGGAGCAGAAACTCCGGCGAACAATGAGCTTCACAAACCACAACCGATTGCTATCACTTACAAGACAGCTGACTTCTTACGTCAACCAAGGCTATCACGAACAAGCCCTGGCTCTGTTCCACCATATGCAAACCTCTGTGGTTCTCGACCCCCCTGTCTTTCCCCTTGTTCTCAAGTCCTGCGCCGCTATCCGCCGCACCCAGCTGGGCGCCGCTATCCACGCCCTCGTCGGAAGAATGGGTCTCCTCTCAAATCCTTTCGTCGCTTGTGCTCTGGTTGATATGTACGGTAAGTGTGCTTCAATTGACGTTGCACGCAGACTGTTCGATGAAATTCCCCAACGAAACGCTGTTGTTTGGAATGCCATGGTATCTCTCTACACCCATTCCAAGAGGATTCGTGAGGCATTGTTTGTGTTTGATGCAATGGATGTTGAGCCGAGTACTGGTACTTTCAATTCCCTGATCGCTGGCCTGGCAGGAGTGGAGGATGGAGCGCTGAAAGCTATCAGATTTTACAGGAAAATGGGTGAGGTGGGTTTGAAGCCAGACTTGATTACGCTTCTTGCTCTGTTACCAGCCTGTGCAGACTTGGGGTCGCTGAATTTGATCAGGGAAATTCATGGGTATTCAGTGAGGAAAAATATTGATCCACACCCGCAGATAAGGAGTGGCATTGTAGAGGCTTATGGGAGGTGTGGGTGTCTGGATAGAGCAACCACTGTCTTCCAAAGCATGCAGCAAAAGAATGTGGTTCCATGGACCAGCCTGATATCTGCACATGCCCTCCACGGAGAGGCAGCGACTGCACTTGAAATATTTGGGCAAATGGAATTGGCAAACGTGAGACCTGATGGTATTACATTCCTTGCAGTTTTGAAAGCTTGTAGCCATGGTGGATTGGCTGATGAAGCAATTCGTTACGTAAAAAAGATGCATGAATATTACGGTCTACGTGCGACCAGTGATCATTACTCTTGTCTGATTGATGTCCTGAGCAGGGCAGGTAGGTTGTCTGAGGCATACAAGATCATAAGTGAAATGCCAGTGAAGGCAACCGCAAAATCTTGGGGTGCACTTCTTGGGGCATGTAGAACGCATGGAGACATGGAGCTTGCCGAGATTGCTGCTAGAGCTCTGTTTGAGATCGAACCTGATAATCCTGCTACTTATGTGCTGTTGGCTACAATCTATGCTAATGCAGGGAGACAAGAGGAAGCCAACATAATCAGAAGTAAAATGAAATCAGTGGGAGTGAGAGTAGACCCTGGAGGGAGCTGGGTAGAATGAACGGTTATTGGAGATTGAGTACAACTCATTACAGTGATCAAGATACAGCTGGATGCATGGAAAGGTGGGGATCGTCGAAGGTGTGGAATTTTTGGATTCAATTGCCTTCGGAAATGTGCTTTTGTCTACTTCACAATTGATTTAGAGGAGGTTAATAAACCTGAGAGAGAGTACCTTGCCTTTTTTTCTTTCTTTTTTCAGTTTTGGTACAGGAATGATGATGCTATTATCAATTGCCAAGCAAATACAGCTTAGTACAACTCAAAACAGAAAGATCATGATACAAAAACTACACAGCTACATAAATCCAGGAGAAGAAGGGCACTGTTCCAAGCTGAAAGAGAGGAAATCCCTGAAGGCAAGTTCAACCTCCATCTTCATCCAGCGCTAAGCAGCTCACGAAAGACACGGGTTGATGATTGCTCACTATCTCCATCACAGCAGAATTATGAAATGATCAAATCGATCTTTCTTGAGAGAGTCAACCAAAGAAGGAAACACGAGAACACAAAATGCAGGGATAGCCTACAAGACTGCTTTTAGTGGTAGCTTCCCGCACACCATGGGAACTGAGAAGTGCCGGTAAGACCCGGCGGTTATGTTTGTACGCCGTTGATACTTCTGATAACTTGTTGGTTGCTGGTTGGACTATTAGAGGACAGAAGATCATAATTTCATGGTTAATGTCTTGGCTTGAAAGATGCCAGTAAGTTCTAAAGGTATCCATGAGGCATGAGCTTAGGGCTTAAAACGAGTCATAGTAGATATTTGGGAAATACATATATTTGGCAATGTAGACATTTTCATACGCAAGTGGTTATGGCAATGTGGATATCATTTTATCATTACATTTAATATGTTTCATTATTTTATTTCAGATCCTAATATAGCAAACCACGAAAAAAGCATTTTGAACTAACAAAATGCATTAATTTACAATGAAACCTTGAGAAATTTTACAATGCTATATAGTAGTTAGTGCTATTGGTTTTTGCCTTTATGGTACAACTTGAAATTGTACCTTTAACGTTATGGTACAACTTTAGATTATACCTATATTGTTTGTACCAATTCTTTTATGGTACAACTTAAACTTGTACATTTATGTGATGGTACAACTTCAAGTTGTAAAGTTGTATCATAACATAATGGTACAAATTCTTTTATGGTACTATATAAACTTATACATTTCATGTTATGGTACAACTTTAAGTTGTACATTAAAGCACCAATACTATATAGTATAGTAGAAATGCTCTGAAACCTTTCTTTACAAATTACAACGTCTCCAAATTAAATAATTTTGTAACCAAACATAACATATAGTTGAAATCAAACTCCAAAATAGCAATGATTATTTTATTGAAAAATAATTGGAAAGTTATTGAAATTAACTGAAAAGTATTGGGTTCCTCAAGATAAAATAGATAAAGAATTAAAGATAGTATTGGTTTATGAAAAAAAGTCAGGGTTGTGATTGAAAAATAATGGAGAAAAAGCGAATTATTTGAAGGTTTCATTAGAATCAAATAACATATTATGTTTTTTGCTAGGAAGCGGGTCATTTTCCCACCATCGGTTGCTTTCACGTCCATTCGGACGTCTTCTTCTCACCAGCTCTTTCCGCTTCTCCTTTCGCATGTCTCTTGTGCTTGTTGCATGGAGCCTTCTTGGGTTTGGGCTCTTCTTCAGCCGTCATCATACTGGCGACGATTGAATAGTCGACACCTGCAACAAACACGCGTAAGGACACCATTGATATGGCAGAAGATCACAATCGACATAAGAAATAGGTCAACTAACCATCGGCGTATAACTCATATAGTAAAGGACTGCACGCCTCCTTGTCGTAAAGATTGATCTTTTCTTTAGGAGCACTTCGTAGCGGTTATTAATACCCTGGTACTCGCCAGTCTCCGACTCTATCTTCATATCGCCCGCACACCAAGGCGATTAAATCTCAGCAAACTCAGTCTACCATTCCCCGCGCACCGGTTTCACATAGAAAAACCGATTAAACCACAAATTGTCGAGCTTGGGCGAACCATAAACATACTCATCCGATCGCATATTTTGCCGCTTAACACAGATACCGGTAGCCTTTGTAGGCACGCGCATCTTATAAAATTTACGGAACATGCCATAAGAGGGAGGAATGTTCCACCGCTTACATGCGAGGCGGAACATACATGTATGCAAAATAACTGAGGGAGAGAAACGAGCAAGTGAACACTTAAAGACACGCAACAAGGAACATAGGAGCAGCTCGAGGGGTATTTCAACCCCATTCGCCAGTACTCGGTGTAGACACCAAACCACCCAGCGGGACAATTCCCGATATGACTTCGCTCACTAGGCACCGCGTATTATCAGGAGGAGGAAGGCCCAAACCGCGCACGTATCTTTCCACATCCGCCCTCCTAAGTTCGGAGACTTGATCTGGCCCGCGCACCAAGTTATCAATGGGAACAGTGCCCGGCGCAGACATATCAGCCCAGTCAATTATGTCATACTCGGCGCTCACGCCGTCTAGGCCAAGGCGGCTAACAGCCTCAGAAACGTGGACCATCTCAAGAGGGCGCTCCACCTCAAGCGGGCGATCGTATTCGATCTCCGAAATTTCTAACGACGACCCGACGAATGCCTAGAAACACCAATCATGCTACCACGCGCGATCAGTATGTCGTGGAAGGGCATCGGAGGCACGCAAAGTGCTTTCTCCTCCGTTATCATTCCCCTCGCGTTGCCTAAACTCATCTTATGCGCTGCGAAACAGATCACTACCTTCGATGGACCCGAACGAGGGCGTATGCGGTAACTCCCTGCTAAACAAAGAACCATCCATTCCGAACAAATCAAAAGATGCGTTAGATAAATCAAGCATGGAAATACGAGAAAGAGGTTCGAAACCGAAGGAGAGGAAGCTAGAGCAAATCCTGGACACGAAAAACACACAAAGTAACACCCTTCTAATCAAACATCGGGGGGTTTTATATATGAGGGAAGAAGCAAGGCCAATCGTCGGATATCTTCTTGGAAAGCGGGAGATACATCGCATCGGCATTCAAAAACCAAAAAATATCACCTCGAAAGCAGCGAAACGAGCGCTCATATTCAAATTTCAAATTAACTGCCCAAACAGGACAACCCAAATACGCCACGTGGCCAACAGAACAGAATTGTGTCTCGCACGCACGGCCTGCTCCACAAACAGAGCGACACACGCCCGCGTTGAACCTCAGAACCCACGACAGCATAAGGTAGTTCCTAAACCACTGGGGGAAACAAGGGACGTCACCGCGGCGCGCATTACAAAGAAATCAATGCGCATAAAGAATAAAAGCGCCAACATCCAACTCCCATAAAAATACCAAAGCATCTGCTTCAAGCGCACTGCTCGCGATAGAGTGACAACAGAAAGCCGTTCTTAAACTACCTCCTGTTGGGGGCAATTGGTGGGGATATTGGCTAAGTCCTCCCGCGCACAACAAACTCCATGCACGAAGACGCCATTCGCCCGACCTACGAGACAATTGGTGGGGATATTAGTTAAGGCCTCCCGCGCAGAACAAAGTGAGTGTACGAAGACGCCAGTCGACCTACCCTCGACATCGAACCATAGAAAACCCGCGCAATGAGAGACTCACACTCGGTCTTGTCCCATTTAATTCCCACCTACCACATGTGTCCCTATAAATACAACATTTACTATAGAGAGCGGGTTAGTTGGACTCTCTCTCTCATCCCTCTACTCTCTCTCATCTCCATGTACTCTTATTTAGTAATAAAACAACTACCACGTTTCCTCATCTGCACATTACTCGCGTCCCTCATAATCTTTGAACCTCTCTCCTACCTTAGCGGGGTACTAACAAAGTAACAATACCCTTGGCTAGCAAATGACTCAATTGATTCATTTGACCAAATTACCCATGCAAACTAGTGGTCACTTGAGTCTTGATTTGATAGTTTGCCAAACATAACTCTGTTGTCTTCAAACAAAACATGCAATGGAGCAGAGCACCATGGATTGATTTTAGTCCCTTTTGAATTCCGATAAGAGCTGTTTGCTTGAAGATTTTGGATGAGTCATTAAACACTAAATGAATTGTTTACCTGTTACACCCCGATATTTGAATTCAGGTTCTACCTCAATGAAAGAACGATTGGGTTGATGATTACGTGCGAAAGGTGACAACAACGGATTAGAATTAATAATAATTATTATTATTATATTATTATTGTTATTATTAAAAAAACGGAAGGGAAAAGGAATCCCCTCCCCACCCGTTACACACCTGATACCCATCAATTTATCCCTCCCCGAACCCATTAATCCCATTAATTCCCCCAAACGTTCCTCTTCTTCCCTTTTAATCAGAAGAGCATCAACGTGAAGGGAATTGGAAAGAAACCCCCGGCCTCCCTCGAGCAGTATCCAGCGCCACAGCAGCAGTCTGCGCTTGCGTCCTCCCCGGCAGTAGTCCGCACAGCAGCAACGCACACCACCACTTCCCGGAGCCTCCCATCATCGTCTCTGCCCTTCTCTCGTACGACCGACGTGAGCGAGATAGAAGCCCACGAAGGAATAGCCATCACCATCATCGAATAGGGTAAGGAGCTCGATTTCCATCTGTCCCTAAGCTCATGTTAACCCCCCAATTAACCCAACGCACGTGTTGATCGACTAGGCCCGTCGATGGCATCGGCGTAGTCGAATTCAATCAAGCTTTGGAATCTTGGCACCATTGCGTAGAGGACATTCCTAGGATCGTCACCGTGTTGACGAAATTGAATTCCGATGTCGGACGAGGGAGAAACGAGCATCGGAAGCTTGGAGTGAAAATCGGTCAAATTCAGGTACCGTTGGTGTAAATTTAAAAAGTTTATGATCACAACTGTAATTTTTCTCAGAAGTCGGAGTCAATGGTGTTGACTGGAAAATTACGAAAATGATACATGGTATTTTGAGAACGGGTGGAATGTTTGTTTTGGTCATAACTCGATCAATTGACGTCCAATCGAGGAGCCGTCGGTGCCTATGGAATCGTGGAAGCGAGGAGATTATTTTGGGAGTGAGTTTGGAAAATTTTGATCAGAATCAATCGGTTTCAATGGATATGAGGTGAGTGTAAAGGGGGTAAAATCTCTGTCGAGGTCTTTTAGTTTATGTCTTTTAATTCAGTTATGTTTGTTATTTTCAAGTAAGCGCGATTATGTGTGTGAGGCATCCCACCGCCTACTTAAGGTGGAGGCACGCGTTGTGCTGTGTGTGTGTGTGTGTGTGTGTGTGTGTGTGTGTGTGGTTAATGGTAAGATGAACCCCCGGGCGGTTGGGCCACTACTGGACGCAGTAGATGGTCGGATCACTGCTGGACGGCGAGACGTAACGCATCACTTGATCGGGTATGTTGGGTCACTACTGGACGGCGAGACGTAACGCAGTAGTTGATTGGACATGGATTGGACGATGAGACGTAACGCAGTGCCATTGCCGAGTTTGGGTATGCAACCGGACGGCAAGACGTAACGCGGTTGGCATACTAGGGTAGGGACACCGGACGGCGAGACGTAACACGGTGGTCCCTAGTGTTGGTATCTATGGATTAAGGAAATTCTAAAGATAAGATATGAGTAGACATCTCTTATAGACTATTTGATAACAAAGTATAAATGATGAAAGCGAGAACGGCTTTTGTCTAAGTCAAGAACCCGAATAATGTGTTTAGTAAGGGTTTGCTTAGGGAAAGAGCTTAGGAAGTAACGACGAGACTGACCCCTTCTTACTCACCAG